GAAGGTGTGGGTAGGGAGGTGGGGTCAGGGAGATGTGAAGGTGTGGGTAGGGAGGTGGGGTCAGGGAGATGTGAAGGTGTGGGTAGGGAGGTGGGGTCAGGGAGATGTGAAGGTGTGGGTGGGGAGGTGGGGTCAGGGAGATGTGAAGGTGTGGGTAGGGAGGTGGGGTCAGGGAGATGTGAAGGTGTGGGTAGGGAGGTGGGCTCAGGCACGTGGCCACAGGTAACCATCAGGAACATGTTCACATACTGAGCTAATGAGCATTTCACACATGACTGGATCTGTTAGTGGCTTATGGAGTTAACAGTTGTATAATGAAGCAAACACCACAAGTCAGCCAACTTAGAGAATATAGAAAAGAGACGGCCAGTCAAACATGAAGCATTTCTTCAACCGAAAGTTCATGACCTTTCACTGGGACTGGAAAGAGTTAAGATGACAGAAGGTGCAGGAGGCCAACCTGAACATTTGTCAGGCTCCTTACCTCCCGGATGGCTTCCCCTGCACCATGGTACGCCTGCAGGTCGTCCAGAATGCCACGAGCCTCCTTGAGGACCACATCCACCTGGTCCCATATCTCCCGCTCGGCTTCTGTGGGTTGTGCGTCTGGACGAGACACAATAGTTCGGACTGAAGTGAGTCAGGGCCTACGAGCACTGTGACTGTGCTACTGCAATGCTACAGTGATGTTGTGATGTTCACTCTGATTGGACAGGCTCCTCAAGCGAGGCTCCGATCATAGGCCACGTAACACACCAAGGTTTCAACACAGTAGCAACCTGAGATCCTATCGGTGACGGGCAAAACAGGCAGTGGTGTGTTCCAGTGGTGCTGATTCTTGGTACCTCATCACGTCCCCATGAACAAGAACAGCAGCTATATTAGCAGACGGGTCTTGAGAAGCTTGCAGTTAGGAGATGCTGCACTGCTGGGCACCCGGCACAGAGCTGCAGGGCCGACACCCTCCTGGTTCTCGATCTTCTCGAGCGGCCTGCGATTATGCACTGCTCCGCAATACTAGTCGTGGGTCACTCAGCTATAAGAGTGTGTCTGGGGTCTATGAGGCTTCACTTTCCATTCCAGGCATTCAGCGGTGTCTAGGTGGGTGGGGGCTCTGGGTCCAGGAGCGATGACGTGTGGTGGAACATTCTAGGCTGTGTAGGCTCAGAGGAGCACCAGCGAACCTATCTGCTCAAACTGCAATTCAGGCTATAGAGGGGCAGGATGTAAACGTGTGTGTGTAGGGG